TTGAACTATCCTTAATTAAATAGAGGAAAAAAGGACCTTTTGAACTAGATGTTTGGAAAAGCTTCCTGGCAGAGAAAGCTGTGAGGCTGAAAAGTGTTAATATTCCAGGATATTGGCATCTGTTTGGAGAGGTGGAGGGAAGCTGGAGCAAGGCAGATGCTGCTCTGCTGGTTTATTCGCTCATAGAGTAGCAGCACAGTGCCAACAACTTCCATCTTGACTTTCTATGCTTTTAGAATTTGAAACAATAAGAGACAGAAACTATTTTTCTATCCTGGACAGATAATCTCAATTTACTAAATATAGTGTTCAGCTGAACAGCAGTTGGGTGGGGCAGGAAAGGGCTTCTTCCACAGGAGAGCCTCTCAAAAATAATAGTTCCAAATTTGCTTACCCTTGCGTCAGTACAGGCAAAATCCTCCTGATCTGCTTCTGTCTGACACGAATAGTGCTCATGGCCAGGACTGGCTCTCAGTCATCCAAGGAAGAGTTCCTACCTCTGAGACCCGCTCCGAGGTCCCTCTGACCTTCTGCACGTCACTCCTAGGCAGTGTGGCCATTCACTGCAGCCCCATATGAGCTTATCTCCTCTTTCTGAAGTGATTCACGCTCCTGGTGACAGCGTTTCATTGTTGATGGCTTGCTCGTGTCAGCCCCCAGTTGATACTGTACAGTAAGTGCCAGGATCTGAATGCTTTCCTTATTTTCACATAAACATCCTGTTTCCCAGTAATGTGCTATTCCAGGCTAAGTATATTAATTGGTTAGCCCTCCTGACTGAATTATTGTTGCATTAATTGCATCGCTTGCATAACTAAAATACTCGTAAGTGCAGTGCCTGCTGTGACCTTCTGCTTCGATGGACGCCCATGAAACACGTGGAGCTAACGAGCTGCTTGTATCCTCTCCCTTCAGGAGGACGCAGAGCAGCTGTACAAGGCTTGCAAACGCTACGACCTTCTGAACAAGTTCTACCAGGCCACAAACCAGTGGCAGAAAGCCATTGAAACAGCTGAAGCTCACGACCGGGTTCACCTCCGCACCACTTACTACAGCTATGCTAAGCACCTGGAGGCAGTCGGAGAGCACGCTCTTGCACTCAGCCAGTAAGCATCAGCCTATGGCCAAATTGTGTTTGGGGGATGCGGAGCCTTTTTCTTCCGTGAAGACTAGAAGTGGGATAGAGAGGATGCCTGGCGATGAGGGCTAGCAATTAATTCTTATTTTTGGTCTCTTTTTATCTCAGCAGTGTTGCAGTCAACCTGCCTGCACTGTCCTGGGGAAATAAAGCTTATTGTCAGGAAGCCTTGTCTTGTCAGGGGCTGATAGCTGAATGCCAGTAATAACCCAGTCCTGTGCTTGTCTCTGGAAGGTCACAGCTACTCTCCTACCTTTTCCATGACAAAACCAACTGTTTGCTTTTGAGAGTCTCAGTCACAAATTGTATGGCACAATTTGGTTTGATTTGGGTGTTTCTGGTGCCCAGTCCTCTGCTGTGGCTGGTGAGTCCCTGGAGAAGTTTGTGGAGGTGATTTTCATGTGTTGTATTTGTTTGTAGTCCTGTTTTTATATGACTTTTACCATGGGAAATCTCACTAGAATGATAATATTGGAAAGTTCTGCCCATTCAGCAGCAAAGTAGAGCTGCAGTGTGATCGGACAGACCCATAAGGTGGTCCAGGTGGGCAGGAAGACAGGGACAGACTGCAGCAGTAGATGGGTGGCATTAATGCAGTCATCTCCCAGCAGTGAGAAAGAGGCAGAAATTGCAGTTTGGTGGCAGAAGTACTAAGCAAGAGGAGCCCAGGGCTTTTTCTGCCTTTTCAGCCAGTTGCACAGGGGTATAGTTAATGTTTTGAGAGCTTTCCTGGATCATTCCTCGGAGCATCACTGGTACTTTTGAAGTGTTTACAACTCTATGATCTCATTGCCTCTGTGGTCTTAAAGAGTTTTTGGTAGTTTTGGCTGATTGCTAATAATCTTAGAGGAAACACACGGAGCACTGTTATCAAGGTTGCCACTTGGTAGCTCTCAAAAAACACAAACCATGAAGTGGATTTTTTAGACAAGGAAGTGAGATTTAAGTCAGTAGTTTCACATCTGATATGCTCTTTTTGCCTACAGCTATGAGAAGTCAGACACACACAGGTTTGAGGTGCCCCGAATGCTCTCTGAAGACCTGCAGGCACTGGAGAACTACGTCAACAAGATGAAAGACAAGTCAGTGCTGTGCTCATTCTTTCTCTTGAGTGGGACTTTTGGGTCTGAAATACAGTCTGTGAGGAGAGCAGGGAAGAAGTAGGGATCTTCTCCTCTGTGAGTTCAACACCTGCTTGATGCCTTTTGATCCTCCCTTGGCTTTTCAGGATCGTGGCACATTTCACTCAAAACTGCCACACTGGATGTTTAGGTTGAGCTCCCTCATAGTGCAGATCTTTGAATGTCACCCTTGTGTTTAGGTAGAACCTATCTGCATTCCAAGAAAATAAATCTGGTCTTGAGTTCAAGATCTCCAGGGCTGAGAAATGCATTCTCTGGCAATTCTGGTTACTGCAGTTAATACTTATCAATGTTGCTTTTCTAGGAGCCTGTGGAAATGGTGGGCCCAGTACCTGGAGAGCCAATCTGATTTGGAATCTGCATTAAAATACTACGCACTGGCTCAGGATTATTTTTCCCTAGTCCGTGTCCACTGCTTTCAGGGCAACATTCAGAAGGTAAAGCAGCCTGCTGCAACTTGTTCCCGGAGCATTCTCATTCCTAGGATGAGTATGGTCACAGCATAAAGATATGTGATTTCCTTTCCAGGCTGCTGAAATAGCAAATGAAACAGGAAATTGGGCGGCTTCATACCACTTGGCCCGCCAGTATGAGAGCCAGGATGAAATCAAGCAGGCTGTGCACTTCTACACCAGGGCCCAGGCATTTAACAATGCCATTCGCCTGTGTAAGGTATGGAAGGACACACACTGTTATGTCCAAACCTGAAGCAGGATTCTGCCCTTAGGTAGTGTACAGAGTGAAAGTGGTACAGATCTGTTCTCATTCTCTCTTGTGAGATATTGCTTGTTCATGAAGACGGTCCCAGTTTCTGCCTGCATCTTCTACAAGGATATCATTACAAAGGGTTGTGTGGGACTGAGTGTTTTCTTGTCCTACATGTCAACAGAAAACTGTCTAAAACAAGCTATGATTGTTGCAGCTCAAAGCCATTGGAGTTGGTATGGGTTTTCCATAGAAGGTGGTTGATGGGCTGCTATGTGACAGCACAAAGCTGGAAGCTTGAAAGGAGGCAGGCTCGTGAAGTCAGTTTGCTGCTTACTGAGACCCAAATCTTTGCTTTTGACCAGGAGAACAATTTAGATGATCAGCTGATGAACCTGGCTCTCCTGAGCTCTCCAGAAGACATGATAGAGGCAGCCTGCTATTATGAGGAGAAGGGGGAGCAAATGGACAGAGCTGTGATGTTGTACCACAAGGTAAATGACTCCTTAGTAAGTATACCAGACATTAAACTGACGCTGCGTGATTTGATTAGGTACAATTATCAGTCATTTCTTCACACTAACACTCTGTTAATCCACACTAGGGTATCCGGTAAATTAATTCTGCAATGCTTATTGTAGTCCCTAAAGTCTCGTCCTTAATTTTACAGGCAGGACATTTCTCCAAAGCACTGGAGCTAGCCTTTGCCACGCAGCAGTTTGGAGCCTTACAGCTAATTGCTGAAGACCTCGATGAGAAGTCAGACCCAGCTCTGCTGGCTCGCTGTTCTGATTTTTTTATTGAACATGCTCAGTATGAGAAGGCAGTGGAATTGCTGCTCACAGCCAAAAAGGTAAGCTCTGCCTTCCTGCTCCCTCTGTGCACCGATGGAGAGGAGCACAAGAGGTGTGCACATGCATACACTCATGTCTCTCTTTGTTCATAAGCTCCTACACAAAAACATTTGTAAGCTTTAAGGTTTCTTTTCAGACTGCTGAGTCACAGGGTGGCAGGCCACTGCCTCAGGTCCAGAAATGGATAAACCCCTGGCTCTGTCTTATTTCTGGCACCTGCACACACTTTGCATTCTTGGAGAAAAAAGAAATCCTACTGTCTAAATATATTTTGAGATGGAGGAATTATATTATTACCAGTGAAAAATAAACAAATAAATAAAAACCAGTGGTTTCTGTCCCACCAAATGTAGTTACAGTGCTTCATTTCTCACCTGAAGTCGTTGTCCTCTTTCTTGTGCTGGCAGCTCAGCCTTACCAAAATTCTGAGTCCCAATTATCAATTTGCTGTGACTCACTTTTTCCCATAGTTAGCAAGGGCACAGTAGCTCTTTTCTGGCTTAAACGGAAATAGCTGTGGTGTATCCTATTCCTTTGTTTCTGTATTTGAAGTAAGAAAACATTTGATGAAATACTTCAAAGTACCTGTATCCTTTTATTTGTATTTGCAGAAAAACCTTCACGTAATCAACCACACCAAACAAATCTGACTCAGATGTCTCTGGTAACATCACACTCAAAGAAAAAATACATAAATCTTTTCTGCCACTTAATGATGTCCTCTGAGAAAAGAGATGAGAAATCACGTTCTTACAGAAAAAATGAGTGTATGTTTGAATTTGAGTTGCTGTTAGGATACTTTGCACAAGCGTTCTAATTAGAGAATCATCTGCTTGCATTTGTGCCTTCATACAGCTGATGTCTAAAAGTGACACCACAGACAGCGTGAAATCACACCGCAGTGCTTGCAGCAGCTCACTGCTTTCTCATTTCCATTAGTACCACGAAGCTCTGCAGCTGTGCCTGAAGCAGAACCTGACCATCACAGAGGAGATGGCTGAGCGGATGACAGTCTCTAAGGACTCCAAGGAGCTCTCTGAGGAGTCCCGCAGAGAACTCTTGGAGCAAATTGCAGACTGCTGCATGAGACAAGGCAATTACCACATGGCAACCAAGAAGTACACGCAAGCTGGAAATAAGTTAAAGGTCAGTTGGGACAGGTAGAAAAAACAGCTGAGGAGGCTGAGCCTCTCACCTTTATACAGTTTTACAAGAGTGATTTGAGAGGTAGATCTTGGAACAGTCAGTAGGCTGTCCAGAGGAGGCTTCCCAATCATTTTAGCATTGTTTGATTTTTGTATTTGATTTTTGTATTCTATTTGCTCTCTCTGCCCTCCCACCCCCATCCATTGTTAGGCTATGAAGGCACTGCTGAGATCTGGAGACACAGAGAAAATTGTCTTCTTTGCGGGAGTCTCTAGACAGAGAGAGATTTACATCATGGCAGCCAACTATTTGCAGTCACTGGATTGGCGTAAGGACCCGGAGATTATGAAGAACATCATCAGCTTCTACACCAAAGGGAGGGCCCTGGATCTGCTGGCAGGATTTTACGATGTGTGTGCTCAGGTACACCCAGCTTCTGTCATTCTTCAAGGTGTTTAGGTTGTTAGCTGTGCAGTAAGAGCCTCATCTGAATCTCCCTTCCTGCAGGTGGAAATTGATGAGTATCAGAACTATGAGAAAGCACAGGGAGCACTGACAGAAGCATATAAATGTCTTTCAAAAGCAAAGACCAAAAGCCCCCTGGAACAGGAAAGCAAGCTAGCACATTTGCAAAGCAAGATGGCTCTGATAAAGCGATTCATCCACGCTCGGAGGTGAGTTGCTGTGTTTGGAGCATGTAGACTAATGACGAAAGTATCAAGCAAGAGGAAAACACAATTCAATAAATCATTTGCAGAAAACACACTTCTATAAGTAGTTGTTATATTTTTGTAGCAGGGAACCAGAGGTGATTTTAAAAGCTATGTTGGCATTCGAGACCAAAGTATAACCAGAAATATGAGTAACTGTTGACCTGGAGAACCACAGCCATCTTTGGTTGGATGATTATCAAACGCACAGTACAAAAATCTTTCCCGTGCTTCACGTGGCAAGCTGAAAGTCCTCCCCCACACGATTTTTCTGTTTGCTCTTTCGCTAGGGTTTACTCTGAGGATCCCAAAGAAGCCATCAGACAGTGCGAACTTCTCCTGGCTGAACAAGATCTTGACGACACCATCCGGCAGGGCGACGTCCTGGGATTTCTGGTTGAACATTATTTACAAGTGGAGGAATTCCATGTGGTAAGTTAATTTTCAGCTCTCACACGCTGAAGAGCCAGGCTCTGAGGATGGATGCTTTTCACCTTTTTGCTGGGAGCTGTAGAAGCAGCGCACCCTCCTCCCTCTAACAGTGATTTCTGTGCTTTCCTCTAGGCTTACCAGTACCTGGAACAGATGCGGAAAAGAATTCCATGCACCAACCTGGCTTACTATGTCAAGCAGCAGACGATTGAGGCGGTTCACCGAGGAGCAGGAATTCCCATCAGCCAAGCCTTGCTTCCAGAGCAGAGTCAGCACAGCAGCACGGAGAACAAGGACGTGGAAGAAGAAGTGGCTGATGAAGTGGAAGGGCCCTGACATCTCACAGTTAGCAGCACCAAGGCCGAGCACTACATCGTTTATTCTGTAGTCTTTAGGGGTCACAGATCAGTCAGCAACTGCTGCAGCAGACTCTTTTGATTATTACCAAGAAATTTATTTTTTTTCTGCTTGTCTCTATAATCAACAGTGATGGATTATTTTAGACACTACATACAAAAAGCAGACTGTACCTAGCCTGGTATGAATCTAGTTTTTGTATTTTAATAAAGAAAAATTTTAAAAGAGAACTGCACATTGCAAGCTCAGGCCTTGTTTGAGGAGGAAGTAAGGTGAAAAATTGTGAGCTGACCAAATTCTCAGGTACAGGTGCCAACATACTTCTCTTTCCTTAGCAAACTTCTGAAAACAATCTCAGTTCCACGTGGCCAGGAGCTTGGGCAGAAGTCAAACCACTGCCCTTCTACTGCACGCCCTCCTCACCTCAAAGCTTTATTTCAATATTATAGGCTCATCCAGGCTGGAGCTGTGGTTTACAAGAAAGCTGGACTTGAAGCCTCTGAATTGTAGAGTGGTTGAGTTTGTAAGGGAGCCCTAGATGTCATCTGGTCCCACACCCCACCTGTCTTTGAGCAAGGTCACCTGCAGCCAGCAAAGCTTCTCACTGCTCTGTGCATGTCAGAATTTAGAATGGAAGTTTCTTTCTGGCACAAACGGGACCACAGCCATGCATGGAACATTAAGCCAACATCAATAACCAAGGGCTCACTGAGCTTTCAGTGTCTTATGGTGCCCTATGAAAACTTTCAGATTAATGAGCCCTTCTGCTTGCAGTGATTTTTTTTTGATGACTTTGTGCCAAATATTGGTGTGACCAGGAAAGCCTTGAATTGTATGCGCTCAGAGAAGAAAGGTGAAGGAACATTTTAAGATCAGAATCTGGTCCTCAGTTACTTCAGAAGAATCTCCTGTCTGTATGTGTATTATACAGAAAGAATCACTTTGTTCCTTACTCACCCCAACGCAGCTCTAACTCAAACCTTTAAGCCCTGGCAATTTATTTCAGAACTTTGCTGCAGCTATTCAGTGCTTCCATCTCTCAGGGTCATCCCCTACACCACCTCCCCCTTGAAGCAGCAGCCCTCCAATGCTGCCAGAGGATGGGAGCCTCTGTCAGGGGATGTCACAGACAGCCCTGCGAGGTAAGTGGCTGCTTCCAGCCCTCCTGTTTTTCTGACAAGAAGTCTGCTATGAGATCTTCCCTGTATTTTTAGCAGAGCATTCAAACCTGCCAAGGTTATAAATAGCTGGGGTGGGGGCTGGGGGCGAGGGGAGGATGGCAGCGCTCGCCTGCCTTCCTGCATCTGTACACCCCGTACCGGATAGCAATAGCTCACTAAGTTGGCCTCCACTACAAAGTCCAGATGTCAAGTCAGGTTTGCTGGCTTACAGCACTGCACCCTCCCCCCTTCTTCCTCTTCTCCAGCCAGGTGACTGCTGAAGAGGCCCCAGCAGTGCCTACACAAGTCCAGCTGGCAAGAGGATGAGGTTAAGGTCATTTCTTTTACCCTTCAGCTAGGACGGGGCAGTTTCCAGTTTCTTCTTCAGGTTCTCCATTAGTAGCAAGTTCTGCAAGGCCAACCTCCTGCAGTCCCCATCCGGATCTTTCTCTACCACATCTGTAAAAGAACATGCCGAGGCTAAGCTGGAAAATGGAGTAAAACGCACTGCTCTTCACCCAGCCTGTCTGTAATGTTACACTGACCATCACGGCCCTAAAGGCAACAGCAAAACATCTGCCATGCCAGAACTCACACTTCTCCCCTTGAGCTATCCGGAACAATTCTGTAGCCCATCCACTAGCATGAATACAGTCTGCAGTTAAAAATACACTGATTCAGAAGCCTAAAGTCTCCATTCTGCAATTCTACACGACTGCTCAGTGCTTCCTCCTGAAACGTAGTCACAGCACTCTTGAACTGGGGGAAAGGAACTTCCATGCCTGCTTCTTTAACACAATTTTCCTTCAGCTGGTCTTCTGCTAAACTAGTACATTTTTTATGTTTTATGGAGAATGAAAGGGAGGGGACGAAGCTGCTTCAAGCAGCTGTTATTTCAGGGGCCCTTACTGAGCCTGCAAAGCACAAACCAGGATGCACGCAGGATGTCTGAGCAGGGGGAGCCTGGAAGAGCAGAGAGCCTGTGCAAGGATATCCTGTACGCACAAGCAGTGTGCTCAGAGCCCAGCACTGTCAGCCCAAACACATGACTCATTCAGACTGAGCAGAGCTATTTATAACCCCATGGAGAGCTTCACTGCAGTGTTTCCACACTCCCTCTACAGAAGGAGAAAACGGGAAGGCTACAAGGCAGCTTACTGCGAGCTCATAAGCTAAGAGACTGACATTGGCACTGCTTCCAATTGCACGAGCACAGACCTTGAATTGCTGCCACTTAGGGGGTACTAAGATACACCCAGCTCATTTCATCGAATAAATTTACCCATGACAGCTCCACAGCACTTGCAAGGCTGGGAGGGGGGGGGGGGAATTCCCTCAATTCCTCAGCAGCTGCCTTTGAAGGAGCAGTTTCCTAGAAATGCTCAGGTATTCCCCTCAGACCTGACTGTCACAAAGGCAGGTCTCTAATGCCTGACCTCATCTGCAGGAGCAGCAAGGAGGAGCCCAGAACCTCCCAGGGAGAGACATTTTACCAACAATCACAGAATCACAGAATTGTAGGGGTTGGAAGGGATCTCCAGAGCAAAGCCACAGCCCAAGAACTTGTGTTTCAGGAAGAAGCTCCATAAGGACACAAGTTTTAAGTGGCACCTAAACGACACCTGGCTACACGTGGAGCAGAGTTGTGTTCTTAAAGGTTTCTGAATACATCATGCGAGCTTACGTGTTCCCACCAGGAGCTATCGCACAATTTCCAGGCAACAGCACCACAAGAAAAGCCTGTTACACTTCCTACAGGCACAGAAAAATGCTGCTAACCCTGTTCTCCTCCTTCCAACTCATTAAAACCAGACTACACACACCCCTCATTCTGAAAAGAGGGCCACAGCATCCCTGGAAAGGCTTTACTTGGTGATAGCAGTGGTTAACAGTTGAGACGAGCAGATTCTTCAGAGCACACCATGTCATGGGGAAAGTAAAGCTTTTGGCCCCACAAGGCAGCTCTCTTTCTCTTAAAGGCCACAGAGCTCTGCAACCTGTGAGGATCAGAAGCCGCCTGTGTCAGTGCTGCTTCCTGCCTGCTCCCTGGGGGAAGCCAGCTCACCAAGAGGGGCAATGGTGAAGGAAACCAACCCAGGGAGTCACACAAGGGCCACACAGAACAGTGCAGGCTCCAGGAGCACAGACCACACAGCATCATTTCCTCTTGTGCTTGCAGCACTCTGCAGTATGTAACCATGCCCTTGTGCAGTTCTAGCTGTGCACTACTCATAAAAATTGGAGTTTGCACACATTGTTCAGCACAAGCTGCTCTCTTTCACAGGCTGTTATTTCCTTCAGCAATAGGATGTCAGGAGATGGGGCTCTTCCTCCGCCTATAGAACGTGCACACAGCATAACACAGCCACATAAGCCTTGTACGTCACTGCCTGGCTGCAAGGTGCAACGTGACAGCGTTCTGCAGCTTCATGAGAGGAGTGCTTGGAGGCTTAGGCAGAGAAGGGGGTGCACAGCATATTCTAGGATATTTGTTTGGCAACTGTTCTAAAGCGTGAGGACAGCTGCACTTTGAGATGCCTCACACACCTCTCAGCTTTAGAGACCTCTACAATACGTCTCTACAGCACACGGTGTGCTCTGCCACCTGCCCCAGACTTCGAGGCGAGCTGTGGGTATTGTTTGTCACACCAGTGTGGTGCACGACACAAGCACACTACTGCTGCAGCCACACTCTTAAAGAGATGCAAACCAGAAAAACATTGACATTCCCCACCACGTCTCACCTTCCAGCCAGGACCGAGCCTCCAGAAGTTCCTCTGTCACATCGTGCAGAAGATGCTCTGCAGGGACACTGAGGAGTATGGAGGAGACACAGGACAGCAGCCCCTGGCGCACGTACCTGTTGGAGAGAGGCAAACCAGTCAGAACCTGCAGCTTCCTGCTCTACCTTGAGTTGCTTCTTATGGCTCACCTTAAGGCTTCTCCAGTTTCCACCATTTGTGATTATAGAATCATAAAATCACAAGGTTGGAAAGGACCTATAAGATCATCTACTCCAACCATCCTCCCACTACCACTGCTACCACAGGCCACTAAACCGTATCTCATAGCTCCTCATCCAGACTTCTTATGATAACCATTGCCACCTTCCTACTAATTAGGAGTGTAATTATGTATCAGCTGGCATGCCACTCACATACAGAGCCTCTCCCACACATGGGCTCAGTGTGCATAGCAGAACACAGAGACCCGGAAAAGTCTGAGGTGAAAACAGAACTTGTGTGTTTCCAGCATTTTAGCTAAGTGTTAATTTCCTTTCAAGTTGAATGCTGGAGCTGTATCTAAAGTTCTTATTCTATTTCAGCTTATTCAGTTGAAAACATTACAAGGATAGTTGGAGGAACGTGCCCTGTTTTTTATAGGTAATGATTGTACCTCCACACTAGAAGACGCCAGCTAATACCTGTTTGTTTGACGTCAAAGCCACGATTTCATTACACACTCTAGCAATGCTCAAAGGAGCACAAGGCCAGAGGTCAGCGTTGAGAAGAACTGGGGAAGTCACTGGCATTTCCAGCCAGGTGCTGGTCAAGGACAAGGACAGAGTGTGGCTGGCCAGCACAGGGGATCTTTAGAAACAAATGCACACAGCTACAACTCACGAGTCAGTGTGGAAACGCAGAGCCCAAACAAACTCCAGCAGTGCCTTTCCCATCGCAGTAACTGCCTGTAAAACAGGATTATGACAAACACTGAATACCTTCACACTCACATCACTTCAAAGGACTGGATCGCGATACGCACTGCTGTGAATGTCAGGGTTAACAATTATTTTACAGAAGAGAAAACTGAGGCAGTCAGAAGAACTGATGTGCTCAACTTCCCATAGAAATTGAAAGAAAAACTACCAGAAGCAGCAGAAGGAAGTGCAGGGCTGCCTGAATCCCACGCCTCCTTTCTGATCATCTTTTCTCAGCCCTTTGAGGACTCCTCAGCACGTGACCCAAACTCACTGCAGGCCTCAGAGCCCACTGCTGTGTCCGACAGCACCTCTGAGCTCCCAGGCTGGAACTCACTCCACACAGCCTTCCTTACCATGGTGTTGACAGCCAGGTACATCAGGACTGCTAAAGTGTGGACCAGCCTTCCAAGGACAAAGTGATCTTCTCCCAGGAGATCAAACGTTGACAAAGGTCTGCAAGTGCAAGACACAGTTCTGAACCAGTGACAGGGATGATCTCTGGAATGGTTGGGGTGGTTGTGAAGAGCAAACGGTCATGCACAAATCTGAACTCCTAAAACAGCAGTCACTTCACAGACTCCAATACAGTCCACAGCTGCTTGCTCCCAGACCAGAAACATCCTCTCCAGTGAGGATCACTTGCTTGACCAGCAGCCTAGTTTTGTTAGAAAGAACTGCATGCAAAAGCTAGCATTGCTGCCATCCTAGAAACAAACCATAAAGACACATAGTACAAGAATCTTGATTCCAGTGGAATCAATTACTGACCCTTCCTTTGGTAAACAAAGACTTGAGTGATTGACAATAACCCGTGTCCTGTAACATGATGCAGTTAATTTCTGTTTAAAGAGGGCAGCCTGAGTTCTGTGGCTTTGTATGAACCAGCCAAAGTGCTGTTGGATGCTGCGAAAATCATCACCCTGTGGACCTGCTGACAGGCTATGCTTAGTAATGCATTCACTTACTGCAGGGTCTCACATATTTCCATCCAAGAAAACTTCATTGGCTAAGTGGAGAGCAGAAGATCTTCCTCAGTGTGCTTTATCCACGAGCCAGGCATCAGTGTGGTGTCACAAGACTCCCACATAACCTCTGGGCTCTATTCTGCTGCCCTGAGACAAGCAGAACAAGCAAGAGATTCACTCTCAAGCTGTCAAGTTCACATCCCAAGGTGTTCACTCACCTGTCAAAGTTCTGGATCAACGGAAAAAAGAAGTGTCCAGCAAGAGAATTGAACTCATTTGGATGAGATGGCTGTTCCACTTGAGACTGCCCCTGTCCAAAAGAAAAATAAACTTAGACACAAGATGCAGCACCCATAGTTCTACATTCATCTACTGCAGCCATCCCACTGCCAGCTATTGCTTACTTGCACACCTATGGCTGCTAGCTTCCAGGCCAGTCAACTCACTCTCCACTTCAGATCCTCTCACACGTCCAAATGTTTCACTAAAATATATCTCAGTACTGCTGGGTTACATATAACAAACAAGAAGAGAATTTTGGAAAGCAAGTCCTCCAGGATGAACCACTGGGGAGTCACAGGACCTGGGAAACTGGCAATAATTTATCTCCCTGAAAAAGAGAGGAAGTCTGAGACAGTCCACTGCAGATGCAGCTGCACTGAAGGAGGATGCTCTCTGAGGTGCAGCCACAGCTCCCTGCAGTGGCCAGACAAGCCCAGAACATGCAAAGAACGGCCAGAGCTATCCTTCAATGCGAGACAAGGAGACCAAGATTTATTTTCATTCTCCTCCTGGGAGAGGACTACAGGATTTGGTACTGAAAAAAATGTAACAAAATACTGAAGTGAAACTGACATTTCTATCCAGTCCTGCCTCTGGATTGGGCTCAATTTCACGTCTATTTTGCTCTCTCCAGATAAAACTACAGCAACCCCTCCTGTCCTTGTTTCTGCTGGATTTGACATTTGTTGCTGCCGTGGCCTCACCTTAGCAAACCTCCTCGTCTTGCTTTTGATTCTCTCATCAACAATTCTTCTCCAGTCCTTGGAGCTGCCACTCTCGGGAAGGAGCTGGATACGAGGGTTTTGGGCACCAGAATGTTTGGTCTTCCCATGGCCTTTGGCACAGGACAGTTCCTGAGCTGCTAAAACCAGCACCTAGATGAAAAAAAAGGGGGGATGGTGTTAAAATAGGGATAATCTGTACTGAGGAAACAAGTTGAATGCACCCAAACCAACGGGAACAGCAAGGCAGAAAGACACAAATTTAGAATTAAGAACTGCAAGGCAAGCAATTAAACCCAGTGAATGGACTCTGAGGTAAGGTGCAAGCAGTCACTGCCCTGAAACAGAACAGCAGCCCCCTGTTCAGACTCTGTAACCCTGACACAGAAAGAGACATAGGCAGACTGCTGGCTTGCAAAAAGCAAAGAGATCCCAGAATGATGACACATCAGGAGAAAATGGCTGCTTTATGGCAAAAGATCATCACACATTTTTCATTGTGTGGGCAACAATTGCTGCTTAATTCAAATGTAACAGAATTAAGAGCAAGAGAAGAATGGCAGGCTCAAATATAACTAAGAGATTCTCATGCCTCTGCTTCCTCCTCACCTCTCCTACAAGGAAAAAAGGTCCCCACTGCATCTTAGGGACACTGCACTGGTGCAACAAAGACATAACAGAAGCGGGAAGCGAAGAGAAGAGCGCTTACATCGAGAATATCCATGCGCTGACGAAGGCTGTAGTTCAGAGAGTAGAACTGGGAGGTCAAGTACTGTGCTACCTGTGCAGAAAAATCAAGGAGCAGTGAGCCCAGTCTGTAAACAGCCTTTCTACTCATTCCAAACATTCTAAACTCTCCATTCGAGGCAATGTTCAGTTTCCTGTTAGCTAACAACAAGACTCTGAGCTTGGGGAAGAAGAGCACTCTATGAATAGGGGAAATCAAATACTTCCAATCCTAGATTCTCCCAGAGGAAGTGAACAACTAACAGGACTTTGCTATTCTTCTCTCCCCCTATGCAGAGGTTTTCAAACAGCTGTCATGGCAGCTGATTACAAACAGCAGGCTGCCAGTGTGCCTCAGCTTCCTCCCACATAAAGCCATCTTCCTTTAGTGCAAGAATCCTTATCTGACTTGTCTCATCAGGTACACCCAGACACACAAAATCATGTCCTTCAGCCTGTTACAGCTCTTGAACAAGCTTCTGCTTTCCTCTTGTTTGTTATCCATTACAGATCCTTCCGTGCCCAGCCCATCTCTGAGGCACTGCCAGATTTGAACCAGCTCTTCACGCTCTGAAGCTGCTATTACCAAACTAGCAAGAGACTTCACCTCCCTAAATTTTTGCCAGTGCTTCAACTAGAAAAAAGGAAGCAGTAAGAGGAACTAACAGGTATTGGATCAGTGGTTAAAACAGCTACTTGTGCCTTCTGACGGAGCTCTGCAAAGCCTTCCAGGCAGGTCTTCTCCTCCAGATGCAACAGTATTTTTGCCAGCTCCACGCTAACCTGCTCAAAATAAGACAACAGGAATCATGACACTGCAGGTTATGCTTCTCACAGGTTTTACAGAGTCCCATCCACCTTCCACTTCTAATGCTGTAGCACAGAGGGAACAATACAGGTAACAACATGCCCTTTACTCACGAGGGAGAAACAACACATTAAGATAAACATCATCAAGATGGATTTCTCAAAACACAGAACAAAACCCTCAGGTTTTCAGGACATGATTTCTCCATCCACATTCATTTTTCACTTTGGCTTTTTAGACAAATGCTAACATCGTGAGACGGGAAGACCTGACCTTACAATTCCTGAATCAAATCCCACCTTTAGGTGTTCCCTGCCACATCGCTGTGAGCAGTCATCACAGCAGCATCTTTGACCTAAGTTCCTTTCACTCAGGCTTTTAATCTTGATAACACAACCCACCTGCTCCCTTGTTAAGGAGCTACATTTGTACGAGCAAAGACAGGAAGTCCATTTGATTGTATTTCATTTTTGTTGGGAAATAACAATTATTCAATTTCAATTCAATGTCAATTACATTATTGAAATTATTCAATTTCAATTCAATGTCAATTACATCCAAAATTAAAATTATTTTATCTGTGGGATTCATGGCAGCTCTACGTGTTGCCTTTCCAAAGCTTTTTCTGCCCAGCACAAAGCATGGAACTTGCCCTGCTGCCCAAGCGACTGGCAAGGTCTACTTGCAAACACATTTCTTTTTCAGTGCTGGAGCTGCTCAGTGCCACTCTGCTGCCTTCACTCCTGCCTACTTCTTTGTGCTCTGTAGCCTCAGCTCAAAAGCAACTATTTCCTTCTATTTCCCTTCCCAAGCTCAAAATTCAGACATTAGCTCAGTGGGTTGCTCTGCTGGGAAGACTGATCTCCTCACAAGGCCAAAGGGATCGCCCAGCACCAGAGCCCACTGCTCACTGTTAGCTCACACTGCTTCACCTCTCTTGCTGCCGCTGGATTCTTCCGAACCAAGCTCTCAAGAGCCTTGACAGCTTCTTCCCACTTGTCCAGATCTTCAGAACCTGTCAGGACTGAAGGCAAACAGAAGGCAGGCAAGATATTAGCAGAACAGTTCTGCTCAGGTACATGCCCTAACTTTCCTCTGCCAGCAGTTTGTCTTCTTACAAGAAGGCACAGCTGACCCAGCACACAACCAGCATTAAGAGCTGGACTGCAGCTCTTTATGAATGACAGTTCAGCACTTGAGCCCAGATAACTGAAAAAATACAGCTTCTCTGCATTAGCTGCAATAAAAACAACCGAATGAGACCGCTCTCCCCAAAAGAGTAAGAAAAAGATGAAGACTCGTCCCAACATCTCACACCTTCAATACAGTCTCGAATATACACTGGAGCCTTAGTCTTCTTCAGTTCTTTATCCTCTGACATGTCGTAAGGTGTCAGGTCATCATCACTGTAAACAAACAAGGGCAGGAGTTAGCCCATAGGGGAAGGCTATTCTTTGCCCAGCTGACCTCAAGGAAGTAAAGAAGCAGCACAAACACCACTGTTACACCACTACTACTGCAATGCAGAGCAGCATGGCTGCAGCCCAGGCTAAAGGAGCTCCCTGGGAAGTTGTAAGAATGACTCTGTCAGCAGATCTCCTGGCCAAGTGTAGGCAGGGGTCAGGAGACCCAGAGGCATGAAGCTGATTCTTGAGATTTCTTTATATATTATTTGTAAAAAGCCAGGATAAGCAGGTCCACTAATGAGTACATATATCAGTAAATCCAAGAAATGTCTCATAAGTCAATCAAACTGAATGAATACAATGGTTGTGCCTGACAGTGGCTTTGCTCCAGTTATTGACAAATGTTCTTGCATACCGTTTCCTACATGATGTCTTACTCTGCTGAACACCATTCAGCTGAACAAGGTCTGCTCCCTCATTCTGGTCAGAAAGAACAAAATCTGCTCCCTCCTCTCCAAGGCTGCTTTTAAGAACCTGCTATTTCTTTTCCATTTCCTACCAGTTTCTTGACTCATACCTGTCAAGCTCAGCATCTGACTCCTCTTCTGGCATCACATGAGTCGTTGCTGTAGGTGATTTCCCATTACTTTCCAATACTGGTGGCAGTGCAGCATCTGCATTCTCATTCCTGCTGAAAGCAATGAGAAACAATAAAACCAATAAGGTAACAGTCTGTATTCACAAGCAAAAAGCTCCCAGCTCCATCACAGCCCCACTGCCTCAATAGTATGACAAATTCTCGTTTCTGTGTTGTCCCACCCACACAAGGAACAAAGTCCTGAGGCAGAGAACGCAGTGAGGGGAGAAGCAGAATCTCACAGCTGCAAAGTAATAGAAAACAGAACTTGAGTTAGCTCATTTGCTGCATTCTCCCTCTGCTAAGTTGTACCTAGGATTGCTAAGGAAAGACTCGTCTGTGGTAGGTGGATCTCACTGGTCTGGAGACCATCAGTGACACTGACCAAGTGGAGAGCTAGGATCTTAAACCTCTCCTAAGGAGACAAGTGCAGTAAAGTATTTCTTTGGACTTCAGTATGTCCTTTAATCTCTCTACTTCTCAAATGCTGCCTAAGCAGCTGTCTGTGCTGACTACACCACTAAAACAGGAGCTCTACATCTTCTGTAATTCACTGGAGTGCTGGACAGCTTCATTTGCTAATAACATCAAGTGACTGATTTATCCGCTGTTAAGAACAAGTGCTTCAAGAGCTACAGCAGATGCCATGAAAGCAAAGAGCACCACAGAACCAGGAATGGTCAACTGACAGATATCCCATATTTTTCTTACTGATGAATGGTCTGGACACAGAAGATCTCTCAGATGCAGACAGAGAGGCCCATTCAACTCTGCTCAGGGGAACGTAAAATCCCTAGAAACTGCAGCATGGTTTCGCTACGATCAGCTGTCAAACAAGCAATTCTAACACATGCTACCATTTGAGTTGTGAATTTAAGATAATTATATTGCATTATAACAACAGTGCATTGCAATACTTTGTAAGAATATAAAAGACATCTTGAATTCCACATATGGTCCTAAAATACAACTCAAAAGAGGTACACAGAAAGGCAAAAAGAATGACCAGGGGCTCAAAATTGATTACATACAAGGAATGACTAAAAAATTGAGGGCTTGTCTGGAAGGGACAACGATTGACAAAAAAGGCATGAGGAGAATTAAAAAGTTCAGAATCAAACAACACATCTCTTCCAGATGCAGTCCCCAAAGATTATCAAGGGAAAAAATCAAATCAAACATAACTTTTCCAGTTACTCAGCATGTTTTTTGTATCTGCTACATGGAAATGAAGAGCAGCAATGTCTTACTTATTGTCTGGAAGACCTGGGAGGACACTGAGTGGTGCAGCTTGTACCAGAAGGGACTTCAGCTCTCTTGCTTCATCATCTTCTTCATACTAGACATTCAGAATAACTGTTACTGCTCTCTAAGATGACAAACATGCCCAGCATGCAACACCTGACCCCTCTGCAGTGCGCAAATGGGGACTGAATCATCCTCAGCTGAACACACAGCCATCCCTTTTGTTTCAATCACTACCAGCAGTAACATTAAAGCTGCACAGAGATCAGTGCCACGCGTAATCTTCCCCCCTGTATTTCATGGTAGTGCTTGGTCAGACCTTGTCTCAGTGTTATTTATAATCTTCAAAACGTTTCGTAAGTGGCAATGCAACAAGGAGAATGAATCAGGTTTTTATGGAACAAATGGGATTTTATCACATAATTCTTCTACCTTATTCTGGCAATAACATGCCAAAGATCCCCATGTCAATCTTGAAAATCTCAGGGCAGGCATTCCCAGCACGTCAGGGAACACACACTCACCACTCCCAGCTCCCATAGGTCAGACTGGGGTTTCCTCACACAATGTGACAATCTTCCAGTGGTCCATTACTTATTAACAATTTACCATAAGCTTAACCATCAGATTACACCCCTAGGGCCACCCTCACCCGTCCACCTGGCTTTTGTGCAATTCCTTTTTGTAATCAGGCAACCTCTCTTTTGGAAAACATCGCTGACTCTCCTCACTTCCAGATAAGAAGTGTTAGAAGGTTGGATATTAGGAGGAAGTTTTTCTGCCAGAGGGTGGTGAGGCACTGGCACAGGTTGCCCAAGGAGGCTGTGGATGCCCCATCCCTGCAGGCATTCAAGGCCAGGCTGGATGTGGCTCTGGGCAGCCTGGGCTGCTGGTTGGTGACCTGCACACAGCAGGGATTGGAACTGGAAGCATTGTGGCCCTTTGCAACCCAGGCCATTCTATGACTCTGTGATAACGCTCTGGCTCACCTGCTTTTAAACTTGTACTCCCTCTGTGTCCCATGTACCAGAGAGGAATTTCACTACAACCTTTACCTGAAACTGCAGGATGGGCCCATCCGTGTTAATCTTTGAACTGATGCTCTCGGCCACTATCATCCCCAGGCGCCGTATCTGAGGCAGGCTGCTGTCCAGGTGGCACTTCACGCCCTCCATCATGCTCGTGAGAAGTTCTGCAGAACACAGACAGCATGCAAACAATGCCAGAGCCAAACGTGTGCCTTCAGAGGTCATCCAGCGAAGGGCAGAAAGGCAAGAAGGGCCTAAGCAACCACGACTTCTGCCTGCAATGGCAGTATTGCCTTTCAGCACCAACATACTGAAGCCATGCTTTGTTGTGGGCACACAAGCACACATCACAAACATATTCTGAATCTGGAATATTTAGTTTTTCACTGGTATAAAAAAACAGAAAGGATTTCAATCCTTAGCTTATGTTTAGAGCTTTGAAACTGGGTAAGTGAAACCCACATCATGAGGAAATGGCAAATTCTGGCCAGTGCAGTAATCAGAGGGAGGAGATTCCCTCATCACCTAGGCAAGCTGACACAGGTAACTAACATCAGCATTTCTCAGTCCAGAAAGAACTGTGACTGCCATCCTTATCTGGCAGACCTACTGTCAGCTCAGGAAAGCTTATGTGTTCAGCAGCTGCCAGAGAGGAAACAGGTTATAAAACTTGAGCACAGTAAAACTTGAGGCAGTAGCAGGTCTTGTGAAGCACAATGAACTCCAGCCTGAAATGGCAGAACAGGTTGTCCAAGTCAACCTTCCAACAAGTGAAAAACAAAGCCAGACAAGAAGCAACTCTAAAAATTGGACAGATATTATTTTTTTTGCAATAAAAGTTTTAATTTCAGACCAGAACCCCACTCTGCTACATGTTATCTAATTACAAAACAGTCCTTGCCTGTAACACACTATCACTACTCACCCAACAAGTGAGCACACTGAGGGAGCAGAAGAACACAGGAATGCACACAGACAGAGCCGAGCCAAACAGCTTCTGATTCATGGTGCACCTCCTCCCATCTCTTTTGAAGTGTTATTCATGCTTCAGCACCAAGACAATTTAAGCACGTGATTCCTCCACCCAGTTCCAGAACCAATTTAAGTTTTCCTGAGACAAAACTTAAGGGTTCCTAGGGCCACTATTCAGCTAAGAACTTCAGTTCAAAGATACCGATCTCCAACTTCACACTTTAAAGCTCCGTGCTTGGAATCACTTTGTATCACTGCTAAAGGAAAAGGATTCCAGCAGGACACCCAGCCTGACAGGATGAAGACAGGACAGTTTTGTTCACCTACCCATCAAAACAAATCATTCTCTCTTCCCAGTCAGACTTTCTGTTAAACACATCCATGCCTCACTTCTGCCACCTCACCTTGCCTGCAGCTCTCTATTTCGGGTTCCTTCAGGTGAGAAAGGCAGATAAGAATGGCCTTACTAATATACTGCTGCTGCTCCACTGGAGAGTGTTTCACTGCACTGCTGCTGCCCCAGGTCTCCAACAGCTCTCGCAGCACCTGAATCAGAGTATAAACAACTTTGTTCATCCAAACTCTCTTGAAACAGATCTTTTCCACGTGTCAGACATACAGCACATGACACCTCAGGATGGCCCACAGGTCTTAATGCCTCTCAGTGCAGTCAGCCTCCCTGCCCACGGTGCTAACTTTGTATTTCAGAGACCAAAACGGTCTCGTGCTTGGCCAGCTGAGAAGTCCAGACCATCCTCCTTTAATATCTTGTTAAATGTACGATTTTTGAATGATAAATACATTTCTTTTTCTTAAACACAGTATCATACTGCTTTCTGACAATAATACATTGTTCTGCATATTATCTGCTATCACACAATGTTTCCAGTCCAATGTTCAAAGAGCAGCTGCCAGTGGTCTCACATTTTAGAGTTTGTAACCGCTGCAACAAACAAACAAACAAAACCCAACACAAAATGATAACAAAACAGGGGTGATTTCCAGAAATACAAACTTCCTGGAAGTTCTGGTGGTACGCTGCTAAATTGGAGAGAGAAAGGATCTGTATCCCCACTGAGGTTAAGGGAGAAAAAGAGATTCCGAAGCATCAAGCATTCAGCACACAGTCGGCTCATAACCAACTCCAGCACTTTCTGTCACCCAGGTCAGCTGAGAGAAGCTGAGGAGGACAAAGGGCACCTGTAACAATCCAGGCCTTTGCAGTTTTGCTACCTGGAGGACAATTTGCCAAGTGAATATGAAAAGCATCAGCAGTGCAGAACGTCTTTGGTTTTGCACAACGTGTTGGTTTTGCATCCCAGGGCTGCCATTGCTGCCACGAGCAGCAGCAAGAGTGACTTAGGGAAGTTCCAACACCCCACCCCACACGGACACACACTGATAGCGTAGAATTCCTTCCGATCAGACACCTCACCAAGGCCATGCCTTAACCTTACCTTGATCAGTAAGGCACGACGAAGGCTCTCCAGGGACAGATAGCCAAGAAGATTCTGCAGCACTGCAGTCTGTAATGAAAACCACAGGTCTTGCTTTAACTGGGCATGAAGTCAGCGTCCAGCAATGCTGAACGTGTGTTAAACTTCAATGTGAAGGACTGGTTGACAGCATTCAAACAGAAAAACTAATTAAAAAAGGAAAAAATAAGAACAAAAAAGCAATACGAGCAATTGCTGATGAAATATATGGCAAATCAGGACAGCAATGCAGCACTTGTACCAGCAATACCAGACAAATACAGAACAGACACAGTCTAGACCCGGAGCTCAGCTAAATAAAACCAAACCCAACAACAACAAATTGGCACTATGGCAAAGACTGGCATTGCTTCACTGCTGTTCAGCTCAGAGCCCTTACCGTGCAGCCATACTGCAACAGCAGCATCTTCTGTGTCACGACAAACTGAGCTTTCTTATTTTTCACAACCAGATTCCCCAGCAATCTAGACAAGACATCTGCCCTAGCAAAACAATAGCAAAACATTAGGGATCTATGGAGGGATTGTCACACTGCCTCTCATTACACGAGATTCTTTGAGCAGCTATTTGCACTGAAGTGAACACCTCTAAATGTTACGAGTCACTCAGTGGTTGCAAATAATGTTTTTTTTCACTGCATGCCATGGCTCAGGCCTGTAGGGAGCAGTGCAGGTTCTAGCTGAGGGGGAACAATCAGCAGTTTTGTCCCTTGGTCCCTCAGGAAATGGCACTGTAAGAAACAGACTACACACGTGTGCGTGCCAGCATCTGTCCTAAGTTCTGTGGCAAAGTTCCTCCCTGAAGCAGAGCAAAAGCTGGAAAACAGAGTTCTTACCCCGGCGCTCTCTGAACAAAACCAAGGACCACTGCCTCCATCCAGCGGTCTGGCACACGTTCAACCAACCGCCAGCAAATTCTTTGCCAGATGCAGTCAGACTTGGTGAGATCCGTGAGGTGGGGCATCAAAACGCTCAGAATTTCCTCTGAAGGAGGAGAGAAAAGAAAGAAACACATCAGCTGGGAAGAAGGACTGCAACGCTTCTTGAGGTCAGCTGCAAGCATAAAGATCTTTATGGACGGAGAAACAGAACAGTCTGCGATTCTATTTTCTTTCTGTGGTGGGAACACCGTGCAGCCTAAGAAACTTGCAAGCATTCCTCACTGCAGTAAATAGATGTGCAATCTCTCCTTCTTGTCCCTGAAGCCCTGTCAGCAACTACTGTGACTTTAAACTCCTAAGCCAAGCGAGACTGAAGGCTACTCATAGGAGATGATTATTACATATGGGGAGTGATTTTTGCTGGTATTTACAACACACTTTCAGGTTACTGGATTAGATACACTAGAAGAGCACTTAATAGTTATGCCCCAAATGGCAAGATGAGGGGAAGGGCAGAAAGCTCACATATTTTCGAGGTATGAGCACATCACACTTGCATGAGATAATAGAAGAGCATTGCCATCTATCAGATCTGTAGCTGAGTGGCCTCAGAAAGCAGAGAGCAGCCTATGCTGATCCACAAATAAAACCTCAAAGCTACCAGGTCAGGTAGAACACTCACTTTGTCTCCCATGAACACAGACCTTTCCCAGGATATGTGAAACGAAAGAGACTGAGCAATCCAAGCCACCTGGAATGAAACAGACAGAAGCTTAACGAGATCATCACCAGCATCACACAAAGCTGGTACACACATACCTACAGGCCACAAGTCTGAAAATGCAGATGAGTTTTCTTTTGAGGCATGACTTCAGCCACCCCCCCCCCATCTGCCTTCAGGTACAAACCAACCCAACATTATCCACGCAGAGGTGGAGTGAGAGCACTGAATAGCTCAGTGCTGCTTCAGCACAACGGTGAGTGCATTAGTGGTTGGTTCTGCACTGGTCTTCCACACACTTCATTTAGCTCACAGCTGGCAAGGGATGAGGATATTTAATAGTTCACACGGCTGCAGCTTTTAGCAGGACTTTTAACAGCCTCAGTCTCAATCCTGGTATCTTATCCTCTTAAAGCACAACGTACTTCACAATAGAAGATGAACTTAAGGCTCCACAACACCCATTATTTACACCTCGAGCACCAGTCGAGGGCTCCACGCGCAAAACACTCCAGAGGAGCCGCCTATACGCGCCAGTTCTGCATTCTCACCTCTGAGCGAAGCGGAGACGTTGTGCAGCACCTGGAGAATCGCGCCACCCAGCAGAGGGAAGTAATGCTGCGGGAAGAACACGGCGGGGCTCTGGCCCAGGAGGCTGTTGCCGACGAGGTCGGGCAGACACACGATCCTGCCCAGCAGCGCGTCCTGCCGCTCGGCCGAGCCGGGTCGGGAATGCTGCTGGCACTGCTCCCAGATGAGCGCGGACAGGCGGCCCTGCCGCAGGAACCGCTCCAGCACCTCGGGCACCGCGGCCAGCCGCCAGTCGGAGCTGAAGGAGGAGAGCTGCGCTGAGTGCCCGCCCCGCCCCGCCGCAAGGAGCTGCGCGCGGCTGCCGTACTGCTACCGCCGCAACCCCGCTGCGGGCACCGCCGCCTCCAGGCGCCCCGACCCCGGCCGTGGGTGGGCTGCAGGCAGCCCGGGACAGGGGTGGGGCTGCGAGGTTCCTCCCAGCTCAACCGCTCCTGGATTCTGCCATCCCCTAAAGGCGACCCCGAGCCGCCGAGCCGAGCAGCACGGCCGCTCCGTGACCCCACGGGAAGCCCCGCTCAACCCCTGCTCCCCTGCCCGGTCCCCGAGGCGCGGCACTGACCGCGGGGCCGCCAGGCTGTCGGTCAGCGCGCTGAAGGCGAGATCGGGCGGGCCCTCCAGGAAGAGGCTCCGCCACGGGCCGGCCGGCTCCTCCGGCCCCGCTGCCAGGTTGCGCAAGAAGGCTTCGAGGCGCGCCCGCTCTCGCTCGCCGAGTGCCGCTGGATCCCCCGCCGCAGCCAGGGCCGCCCGCACGGCGTCCACCGCCTCCGCCTCAGGACAGAGCCCGGGCCCGGCCGCCTGCAGGGCGCTCTCCAAGGCCGCCGCCATGATGGATATCGTACCGCTTCCTGCCGCCATGGTGGAAGCCGTGCCCACTTCCGGCCGCCATGTGGCCACCAATGGTAGTGCCGGAAGAAGGCCCCGCCCACGCTGTTCTTAAAGGCGCAGGAGCCCCTCCGTCTCTGCGAGCGCGGGCGGAAACGAGCGAGACGGGCGGTTCTCACCTCTACTGCTTTATTATCAGTCGCTCGTCCTATACAAGTACAAACACAGCGTGGCCCCAAAGGCTACAAAGTGATACAAAACGACACAAAAATAATGAAAAAAACAACAAAACTTTATAGTATTGACTGTACAACAGGTGGTTCTTTGCCTTTCCCCAGGCAGCAGCACAGCCCTCAGCCTCGCTCTGCCTCGCAGTTTCCTCGCAGGGGTTGACGATCGGTTGCTAACTGGAGATTTGTAAAAGCAGAAGCACTTGCATCATTTCCTTAAGGAACTGAATAGGAAACTTACCAAAATCTTTAAGAAAAGGTAGAAGGAATCAACCAGGGCAGCAGCTACAAACCCATTCTTAACATTTCCAGCTTCTTTTCTAAAGCACAGTGTTCAGCAGGCTGGGCTGCTGTCTCTGCAGCGTTCCAGTGGTATATGCATTACACAAGGTCAATATGCAGAAACTAATCATAGTTTGGGAATGGGAATAAAGCAAACAGCTCATTAAGTCTCAGACAAATTTTGTAATCCGGACTCCAGCCGCTCTGACAATCCCAGCAATTGGGTTCTCTGCCTCCCTGCCCTATTCTGCAGCATTTCCAAAATAGCTCAAGATTTACATGCTCATCTGTACAGCATGCTAAGCACTCAGAAATCATCAAGCAGCAGTCTGCTAACTGGAGAAAGCCATAACATCGATCCAGGAGAGATGTTGGTTTTATAGCCTTAAAAAGAATAAAAATTAAAAAAAAAAATCAAAGCCATTTTTCAATAATGTCAATTAAATGCCAGGAAACTAGAAGCCCCACAGCAGAGGCTGACTAACGGCCAGGAACTGCTGCTGCCTCCTCTTGGATTACCCTCACTGCCAGGATCCTCTCTCCCCCCTCTCTCCCTTCCTCACCTAGACCCATTATAAAAAAAGGTACAATATTTATTTTCATGGAATTTAAGTTAAAAAATAAAAAGCTGTCCATTCTTTTTGCTTTATCGTGAAGAGTTGGAGCTGGAGCGGCTGCGGTGGCGCCTTCGTCCGGGAGACCTGGACCGCGAGCGCCGGCGGACAGGAGATCTGCGCCTCGGAGAGCGGGACCTGCAGGAAGGGACGGAGAAGAGCTCCGTTAGGAGGCACAGCAGCTTCCAGCAACGTCTGCAGTGTTTGCAAATTGGTTCCTTCCGTGTCCTCCAGACAAATCTCAAAGATCACTCTGAAAGAGATCCAACAACTCCAGAAAGCAGAAGGGCAATCCAAACAGGAATATTCTAGGAGGAATTTTCTAGCTATTTTACCATCCCTCTGCTTCACATCCAAATAACAGACAAGGATCTCATCTTCTACCTCACACACCACAAACAGGTTCTTTCTACATCAGATTCTCCTTCATCTGGAAGGCTCATCTGAAATTCTAGCTCCTGAAATATTCAGTATTTACACAGCTCACACAGTACCACAGACACACTTCTCACAGGAAGTCCAACTCTAAATAGCTGAGCTTCAGAATCTGCAGTGCTACAGTTGTCTGTACAGCCATCAGTACGACACCAAGGTGCCGGGCATGGAATATGAACAGAGCCAGACAGGACAGTAGAAGATGAGGGAAGCAAACAGATCATCCAACCTAGCATTTAGTGCAGTAAAAAGCACTTTATGGAGAAGCAATCAGCTGGTTCAAATTAGGAACTGCATTAGTAAGGACAAGAGTTTCAGCAGGTTTCCAGGATACTGGAGCTCACCCACATGCTGAGAACATCAACGTTAAGTTTTTTGGAGCCTGAGGATTCAGGCAGCCCCGAGTCACAGGACAGATGCACGTGTGTCAGGTCCCTCCTTGGGGTCACACGCACCTGATGCAGGAGGATTGCTTTACTCTCATTTTCCCACTGACAGAAAGGAGATAAGGGCTTCTGAATAAGGCAACCAGACCAGGCTGCCAAAAGCATCCTACTAGCCAGCCACAAGCCTGTCCCCACTTCACCTCGAAGCACTACACAGAAGGGAACAGGCTGGGATCTAAACATTTCTGATGGACTTTATTCAGGAAATAGACCAGGGTCAACTCTGGCATTAAGCAATTAATTATCATAGTCACAGAATGCCTTGGGTCAAAAAGAACCACAGTGCTCACCCAGTCCCAACCCCCTGCTGTGTGCAGGTCACCAACCAGCAGCCCAGGCTGCCCAGAGCCACATCCAGCCTGGCCTTGAATGCCTGCAGGGATGGGGCATCCACAGCCTCCTTGGGCAACCTGTGCCAGTGCCTCACCACCCTCTGGGGGAAAAACTTCCTCCTCATATCCAACCTAAACCTCCCGTCTCAGTTTAAAACCCCTTGTCCTATCACTACCCACCCTTGTTGCCTTTCCCCTCCTGTTTATACGCTCCCTTCAAGTACTGGAAGGTCTCCCTGGAGCCTTCTTTTCTCCAAGTTAAACAAGCCCAGTTCCCTCAACCTTTCAAGAACTACAATCTGAGTTCAACTGATGCCCAGAAGGTGGTCTGTTTGTTCTTTTGTGCTTTGTTTTGGTTTTTTGAACCATCATTGCAGGGGAAGCTCAGGTCCAATGAGATGAAGCTGTCCTCATGCTGGGACTCGGCGATAAATTCTTGTGACAGTGAGAAGGAAATAAGACATTATATAAGGCTCAGCTCTCACCTTCTCCTCATCCGAGGGGGGGACCTACGCCACATCGGTGGTGGTGGCAGCATCCTCCTGGGTGGGCTGAAGCGCCGAGGAGGCGGCCTGGGTCGCGGTGCCAGCACGGCCGTGGCAGTGATCTCCTGCCCATCGATCTGCCCTGCTCAGAAAGTCACAAACATAAAGGCAGCGTTTTCCAGCACCAACAGACCAAGCGACGGAGATTCACAGCTCTGTCGCAAGCAACACAACCCTGTGCTGCTATTTCCACCACACACTCTGAAGTTCTGCTGACCAAATCACACGCACACCAGACTTCTTAACCCAGTTCCCCATCAGACACTGATCAGGATTTTCACAGAAATTTAAATGATTTTCAGTTTGGAAAAAAAGCATCATTTTAATAGTTGTGTTTTTTTTCCAATCTGCCCTGACACCACACAAAAGCCAAAGGCATCTGCACTGAAAACAGAATGACAGCATATCAGATCAGCTCCCCAGAAGGTCCCCCATCATCTCCATCTCATTTTCACATCAAATCCACCCGCTCCAAAGATTGCTTTCAAAGCACCCAGCCTCCTTGCAGCACTTGACACCCACCTCCATCCATGTGTTTCAGGGCTTTCTCAGCATCATCTGGGTTCTCAAACTCCACATAAGCGTAGCCTTTAGAGAGGTGTGGATTTAGCCTGTCCACTGGCATGTCAATCATTTTAATCTTTCCATAAGTGGAAAAAATTTCCATGATGTGATCCTGCCAAGAAGGAGCAGAACTTAAGGATGTGCAGCTCTCTCATCGAGCAGGTCTGGCCACTACAGAGCTCACAGCACCAAACCACCTCTAAATCAATGCCACCTGCAGGAGATACATTCCCCTAATCAGGTGTGGAAAGCACACTGGGGTTACCACAGCCTCTACTGATGTCTCTGTCTATTTTACTTCAGATCATTCCAGACCTTATCAGAATTCCTGGCTGAACATCATCACAGGCTACAGAAGCTGCACTAGTGAGAAAACCTTCCTGGGGTTTTAGGAAAGCGAAGTTGTGTCCTCAGATAGGAAGTCCTCAGGTACAAGCCTTCATCTCTTTTTTAAAATAGCATCTTTTCTGCACCCTAAACCTGTACCTCTGCACACCTCTAAACTACATTCCAGCAAAGACAGCTCCAGCCAATCCAGCTCCCCTGGAGCTCCTTTAGTGAAGCCCCAGGTGACTTTAATGCCTCCCACATGATTTCTACTGTTGTACTGACTTACACAGCTTTCTTCCTAGGAAGGCGAAGTACAAGCTCTGGGGTACCAACAAAGCACACAGAGCTTTTAACACTGCTGAATCTCATAAGGCCACACTGAATTTGACTTGGAGAAGTTCTACTGAAGCATTCCTCACTCATCAATTTGGACACAAAGCAGGAATTTCCAACAGCACTGTTCTGGCAGCAGTCCACAAACAAAAGAAACACTGAAAGCTTTAAAAAAGCCACCAGCACACAACCCATAACAGAAGCACCTGCTTGGCATTAGAGCAGAGCACGCCATTACCTTGGTGACATTTCTAGTGAGCCTCCCAACGTGCACTTTTGTAGGTCTGGGCGATGGGCTGCGCCGCTTCCGCTCCTTTTCATCTCTCTTGGGTGGCTTGGATCTGATTTTGACAAGAAAACATTTACAGCTTCCAGGGAAAACGAGAAGACAAGAACTAGAAGCCAATTTCTAGCATGTGATTTTAAGAGAAGTACCATTTTTCTTGTCAAGGTAGCTTTTCTCTTAAGATATTACAAGTTAGGAATTGCTAGGGTGGTGGCTGTGCTCCGCTCAGAAAGGTAGGAAGATTTGTATTTGTCTCGTCTGCTTTTGCTTTACAGCCTTCTGGAATTAAAGGAGCTTTTTAAAATTTATTTTAAACACATTAAAGGTTAGCTAGGTTTACTAAATTTGATTTGCCAAGGATTTACTCAAAATCATTGCTAGCATTAAAGAACTCTGGAGGTGCGGGAACAAAAATCCTCACGTGACAACAATTAAAGAGGCAAAACAAGGCCAGGAGCACCAAAGCACAGCACAGCCAAATAATGGATCTAGTGACCTGTGTGTCTTCTGTTCACCACAGAAGACAAGAAACATCACATCTGAATTATTTAAATAATTGTGTTACAGTTTGCTTGCAGGCTTTTAAAATTACAAGCCACATTTGTGAAAAGCACCAAAAAGAAAACCCCAAATCCAAGCATGCAGAATATC